ATGTTCTTTCTCATCAGTGTTTCTCTCCCCCTCTCCCTTATTCTTTGTAAAATCAATAAAGAAAAATTATAAAAAAAAACAACAACAAAATACATGTTTTAATGAACATCACATAACTTTTTAAAGAACATTTGACATTTGTTTCCATTGTTGCAGATATTACCCCAATATAACAAAAGAGACAGATAAGAATTCATGTCAATTGCTTATTCTAATTGGTAGAAACAATATAAGAAAAATAAGAATATAGGACCTAAATGGTCTTTTCCCCCTATAAATGAGGCAGATGTTGAACTACTTATCTCAAACTTTGAAAGACTCACTCATTGTTATGACCTTCGTGGTCTTTCCTCACTTCCAAAGGACAGGCCTGGGAAGGAAATAAACATTTTTATTCACCTGAAATCTGTCCAAGGCCCAGGTCTGGCCTACTTTTGAGAGGGCTTTGCCTCTGATGGTATCACTGTTTTCTTTTTTTTTTTTTTCATCCTCACCTGAGGACATTTTCCCTTTTTTTTTTTTGGTACAGATAGAGTGGGAGGGAGAGAGAGGAAGAAAGAGAGAGACAGAGAGAGAAACATCGATGTGAAAGGGACACATCGAGTGGCTGCCATCCGCACGACCTACCAGGGCCGGGGACAAACTGCAACCGAGGTACGTGCCCTTAGCGGGAACCGAACCCGGGTCTCTCCGTACTGCAGGCCGACGCTCTAACCGCTGAGCCAAACCGGCCAGGGCTATCACTGTTTTCTTTTTCTTTTTAAATTTTTTTTTTATCCTCACCTGAGGATATTTTTCCATTTTTTGTACAGATAGAGAGGGAGGGAGAGAGAGGATGGGAGAGAGAGAGAGAAACATCCAAGTGAAGGGACACATCGAGTGGCTGCCACCCGCACGACCAACCAGGGCCGGAGACAAACTGCAACCGAAGTACGTGCCCCTAGCGGAACCGAACCCGGGTCTCTCCAGACCGCAGGCCGACGCTCTAACCGCTGAGCCAAACCGGCCAGGGCTATCACTGTTTTCTTTACCAGTTTGTACTACTGTGAAAACTATAGCTTTAAACCTTCTTTATGCTTAAGGAATTTTGTTTCCAGCGGATTATTGAAAGAATATTAATATTTGATGTGTAGACTAATACATTTTATTATTATATTTTCAGGTATTTCTTGTGGTCGAATTCATATACCTGTTTTAGGAAGGTTTGGGACCTTTGAAACTCAGATTCTACGGAGAGTTCCTTTTAGAACCTTTACAGAAACACCAGCATACTTTGCTTCTAAAGATGGGATAAGTAAGGATGGCTCTGGAGATGGAAATAAGGTATTTTATCTTTATTGGCATCTATACACATATTTGAGTTCCCTCCTTTAAGCAATTAAATACAATAATAGTACTTTGTGTCCCATTGGTTTATATGTTTTCTGTGGGAAATGTGAAATATATAGAATGATCTGAAGAGTTTTATGTAATTTCATTTTGTGTTTCAGTTTGAACCATAAAGTAATTTTATAGGCATTGTACTTAATAAGCCATAATTAAAATTTTTAGCACTATAAAGGAGTAAAGTAACCTGTGTAGTTAGTCTGTAGGGTTGAATTAGGAATACCCATCATTTCCTGCTTTCACACAACTTTTACTACCCACAATAGTGTAAACCCCACTTCATTCTCTACCTAAAAATCTTGGACATCTCTCTGACAATGCTGGTCTGGTCTGTAGCTAGCAAGTAGATAATTGGTTCAGTGAATTATTAATTTTTTTATTATGTGAATTTGACTGACACTTGAGTTAATATTATATGTAAGACAAAATGCTCAGTGCTTTCAGATTTGTACTTAATCTTAACAGTGACTCTCTAAAGTAGGTGATATTATCTTTGATGAAAAGAGTTAGATTTAAGAAAGTTAAGAATCACTTGCCGTGATAATAAGACCCAATTCAATTTCATTGAAATGTAGTTTTATACTTATACTTATTTTTTTTCCTAGTTCTTATTGAGTCATTGAAAGAAAGCTATTTTTTATACATACTGGCACATACCTACATGCACCAGTAATAATAGAAATATAAATTATGCTAATAATTCCCTTCAGGAAATTGTAAAAATTACAAGATTAATTATAAATTATATTGTTTATTTTTAAGTTTACATATAAAATGGTTACCTGAAAGTAATAATTGACACTCTCCTATTTTCCTTCTCCAAAAACGTTAGAAATCAGTGAGTGAGGGGAGCAGTAAAAAATCAGGTTCTGGAAATTCTGGAAAAGGTGGAAACCAGCTGCGCTGTCCTAAATGTGGTGACTTATGCACACATGTAGAGACCTTTGTGTGTAAGTATTACTTCGTTGTTCTTCAAAAACTTTTTCTGTAAGTCATTAACTGCATAGAAATATATAAATTATATAAATTAGGGTTATGTTCTTCCTGAACTGACATTATTCTCTCTTATATTCACCAGATACTAAAAATCCCCAGAACTAGTAATGTTTTGCACTGTGGTATAGGAGAGAATTTAAGAAAACCATTTGCCTCTTTATCTTGCTTATATGTTTATTTTAAAATTGGATCTTATGATTTTTAAAGTTTTTTTTTATTATGTTTTATTTTTGTTTGTATAATATATTGTATCTGAAATAATTCAAATGTATTGAATGAGGCCCTGGCCATGTAGCTCAGTTGTTTGGAGCATCATCCCAATATGCCAAAGTTGAGGATTTGGTCCTCAATCAGGGCACATACAAGAATCAACCAGTCTCCCTGGCCGGTTTGGCTTAGCGGTTGGAGCTTTGGCCCCCGGACCAGAGAGTCCCAGTTCAGTTCCCACTAAGGACACGTACCTCTGTTGCAGTTTGTCCCTGACCCCAGAGGGGTCATGTGTGTCTCTCACATCGATGTTTCTCTCTCTCACTTCCTCCTCTCCCTTCCTCTCTATATGAAGATGAATGCAAAAGTGTCCTCAGGTGAGGGTAAAAAAAAAAAAAAGAATCAACCAGTGAATGCATACATAAGTGGAACCACAAACTAATGTCTCTCTTTCTCTCTCTCTCCCTTCCTCTTTGTCTCAAATCAGTTTTTAAAAATGTCTTGCCTGGCCAGTGTGGCTCAGTGGTTGAGCATTGACCCATACACCAAGAGGCCACTGGTTTAATTCCTGGTCAGGGGACATGCCCAGGTTGTGGGCCCAATCACCAGTGAGGGGCATGCAGGAGGCGGCCAATTGATGTACTCTCTCATTGATGTTTCTCTCTCTCTCTCTCTCTCTCTCTCTCTCTCTCTCTCTCTTCCTCTCCCTCTCCCTCTAAAAAATCAATAAAGAAAAAGGAAATGTCTTGAATGAAAAAGGCTTTGCTTATGATTTACAAAGCAATTGAAAAATAAGTTGTTGAAGGGGTAGCATTTAGTGAATTAAATAATACATTTCTGGGGAGTGGGGATCTGTGATATACATTTAATTGAAAAAAGAAACTGTATTAGGTTACCATGCAGATGTATACAACAATCAAATGTAGAGAAACACAAGAAAGTAAAGTTAAATGTGATCCTCTTTATTTTTAAGAAAAAAGTACATTTTTTCATTTTCTATTCTTGGCATAAATTTTCATTCTTTCCAGTGGAACCAAAACCTCCTGAACCCCTTTCAAGTGTTATCCAAAACTTGAACTTCCTCTATTTCTGGATTGAAAAATTAATTCACAAATGAGCTGTGTAATTCTGTCATCTTTTTTTTTTAATCCTCACCTGAGGACACCCTTCCATTTTTTGTTCAGATAGAGTGGGAGAGAGGGAGGGAGGGAGGGAGAGAAAGAGAAACATCGGCGTGAAAGGGACACATTGAGTGGCTGCCTCCCACATAACCCCAACCAGGGCTGGGGACAAACTGCAACCGAGGTATATGCCCTTAGCAGGAACCGAACACAGGTCTCTCTGGACTGCGGGCTGATGCTCTAACCCCTGAGCCAAATGGGCCAGGGCAGGTATACTATTCTTTAGCCCATTTAAAAATTAACTTATCATGAATAGATCCCCACTTCTATTTAAGTTAGAGCCTTTAATTGTTTTTATTTATATGTATATATAATATATATATATTTTTTAATTTTTAATTTTTTAAATGTACTGGGAAATTCCAAAGCAACAAGTACTGCACAGAAAAGGAGACACGCGGGGAGTTTCTGGGGGCCTGTATTGAACTATTTTCTTTGGTGATTCCTCCAAGTCCTTTCTGTAGGGCTCATTGCCCCAGCCTGTTCTGAGAAGTTTTTCTAAATAGTTAGTAGATGACAACAAGCCCTGCCTTCACCCCGTGGAACTGCCCTCCAGGCCTCTTTAAAAACTGAGATTAGCCCTGGCCGGTTTGGCTCAGCGGTTAGAGCATCGGCCTGCGGTCCGGAGAGACCCGGGTTCGGTTCCCGCTAAGGGCACGTACTTCGGTTGCAGTTTGTCCTCGGCCCTGGTTGGTCGTGCGGTGGCAGCCACTTGATGTGTCCCTTCACGTCGATGTTTCTCTCTCTCTGTCTCTTCCTCTCTCTCCCTCCCACTCTATCTGTACAAAAAATGGAAAAATGTCCTCGGGTGAGGATAAAAAAAAACACACACAAAAAAAACTGAGATTAGCTTGTCCAGTCCATTATCGAAATCATCTTTTCTACTTGTATAGGAACAAGGGGCACAGATACAGGAAGCTGCCCTTCTTTGTGGCCTTGTATTGCCACATTATTGCTGACAAAAAATGAAAAACTGTACGGTTTTATTAGCTAGAATGCCCACTCATGCCCAGATTGGGCACTGTGCCTTTAGGTCTCTGGGGCCTTTTCAGTCACATCTCTGAGCCTGGGCCGAATGCAGATGCTCCTGGAGTGTGTGGAAGCACCGGGAAGGCCTAGATAGGAAGAAAGGCGAGTCCCAAAGCCAGTCTGGGCAGCATTTTCTCTCAAAGCAGAAGGCTGTGTATCCTGTCTCTCAGGGACTCCTGCAACTCAATCAATGAGTTCACTCTAACTGGCCACTGGGGCCATTGTCTTCTGACACAGCCTGGCCAGGAGCCCTGCCATCTGCAGAAGGGAGTTCACACCTTCGGCTATTTTCATGTGAGTGTATCCAATTTCCTTAATAAACTCCAGTTTCAAGTATTCTGCCATTTGGAAGGTTTTACACACTCGAAAAATGTTGCCAATGATGTCTTCTGGTGAATAGCCAAGATGCCACAGGTGAGCGAGAATCTTGTAGGCTTCGTCGATGTTGGCATTCACACAGTGCTGGATCATCTCCTTCACCAGCAGCGGGTGCGGCTGGTCACAGACCTTGAACACATTCTCACTGTTAATGAAGCCGAATCCCGAGAAAGTAGACTGCAAGTTGTTCAATGCCTGCCTCATGTCTCCCTGGGCGGTGAAGATAATGGCTTCCAGACCATCGTCAGTGTACTGCACCTTCTCCTTCTCGATCATATTCATTAACCTCGCGAGGATCTGGGCATCGGTCAGCTTTGTGTAGCGGAGGACTGCGCACCGGGACTGAATGGGCTCTATGATTTTATCCGAAGCATTACAAACAAGTACAAAGCGAGTTGTTTTGGAGTAGATTTCCATGGTTCTCCTCAAGGCTTGCTGGGCTCCATCAGTCATGCTGTCTGCTTCATCCAGGATGATGATCTTGTGTCGTCCTTTGGGAAGAGTGACTTTCTGTTGAGCAAACATTTTGATTTTGTTCCTCACAACATCAATACCCCTGTCATTTGAGGCATTAAGTTCCAAAACGGCATCTTTGAGAGCTGGGCCCAGAAGGGCTCCTGCCAAACACAGGATGCTTGTGGTTTTGCCAGTTCCTGGGGGGCCAGCAATGATAATATTGGGCATATTCCCTTCTCGTGCAAAGATCTCCAGCCTGCTCACAGTGTCTTCATTCCCAACAATTTCATTCAACTTTATTGGTCTATACTTCTCAACCCACGGCAGCTCTTAGTGGCCAGCGCTCCCGGGGGCCTTGCTGGGGCCCGGGGAAGGATCCTGGGACCCACCAGCCACCGTAGCTCTCCTCCACCTCCATTCTCCTGCCGCCTCTTCCCGCCGCCCGAGGCCCCCTATAATACTATTTGAAGGCTTACTGTACTTAACATATAGTGCGGGAATTATACTTTTCTGCAGTGTTTTGGAGATTTTGTGTTGGACCCCGTGTTTAAGATCATGAAAAACTTTCATTTAAACAAATCTAAAAAAGTTTTTACTAAGGTAGACTGTCAGTTGTTGTCATACTATACAAGCACGTTTACTGGGATCAGTATTCTGTATGTAAAGGAATATAGGACTTATAATAATCATTTAAAGAAAAGAGGTTTATTTATCCCTTGATAATTGAACAAAATTATATTTTTGCCCTTAGTTTTTAAGAGTAAAAAATGCATTGCAATGCTTGTTTTATTTTTTTAATCCTCACCTGAGGATATTTTTCTATATATCTTCAGATAATGTGGGAGGTAGAGCTAGAGAAGGGGAGAAACATCCATGTGAAAGGGACACAGACTGGCTGCCTCCCACACTGGCTGCCTCCCACACAGGGCAGAGGACAAACTGCAACCCAGTTAGTTACATGCCCTTGGCCGGAACCAAACCTGTGACTCATTGGTTCACGGGCCTTCGCTCTACCACTGAGCCAAACGAATGGGCCAGGGCACAATGCTTGTTTTTTTAAAATAGCATTTTGATAAATAAAGTATTTGAACTCGGGTATTTGTTGAATGTGTTTCAGTGTAAAATTGTATTGCAAACATTCAAGTAGAATTTAAACAACCCTTCAACCATAAGCAAAGAGGGTGTGATTTGTTGTTTAATCTCTTTCCCTTTGACCTAATTTCTTTAGTGAAATATTTTGTTTGTGTGTTCTCAAGCCAGATTTTCTAGTCACACAGCCTGAACTAAATCAGAGGCTTCTCTGCCCTTTAATCCTTGCTGTTTACCATCACTAACAATTGTAAGCTTGTGCCTAATAAAATGAAGGCATTAACTCTTTCCCATTGATGGGAAATGGTGATAATGTATCTGGGCTTGGGTTAATTGAAGGTACTTGGCATAGCTTGGTATTTTCTTTAGGTAAGCATTCCCTCTTCTGGCTTAAAATTTGCTGCTAGAATTTATTCTGAATGAATTTTTAATTGACCTTGTGTTTCAGAATGAACATATAACAATTACATTGATTGAATTAATAATTATATTTGTTTTAATTGTGAAATTGTCTGTTTTTTATTTTTTTATTACTTTTTAAAAATATTTATTTTTGTTACAGATGTTTCTTCGTTTTTACCCCATTGACACCCTCCTCTCCATCCCCCCACCCCGTCCCCAGCTTTGTTGTCCATGTCCATTGGTTATGCATACATGCATGTAAGTTCTGTGGTTTATCTCTTCCCTCCCCCAACCACCCCCTTTTCTGAAGGTTGTCAGTGTGTACCCTACTTCCACGTCTCTGGGTCTACCCTATTCCTCAGACTATTATTATGATCATTATATTCCACAAATAAGTAAAATCATGTGATATTTGTCTTTTTCTGCTTGGCTTGTTTTGCTTAGAATAATACTTTCCAGGTCCCTCCATGTCATCTCAAAGGATAAGAGGTCTTTTTTTCTTACAGCTGCATAGCACTCCATTGTGTATATGTACCACAGCTTTTTTATCCATTCGTCTACTGATGGACACTTGGGCTGTTTCCAGATCTTGGCTATTGTAAATAGTGTTGCTATGAACATGGGGGTACATATATTCTTTCTGATTGGTGTTTCAAGCTTCTTAGGTTATATTCCTAGATGTGGGATCACTGGGTCAAATGGCAATTCAATTTTCAATTTGTTGAAGTAACACCATAGTATTTTCCATAGGCTGCACCAGTCTGCATTCCCACCAGCAGTGTACTAGAGTCCCCTTTTCTCCACACCCTCGCCAACACTTGTTTGATGATTTGTTGATGGTGGCCATTCTGACAGGTGTAAGGTGGTACCTCTTTGTTGTTTTAATTTGCATCTCTCTGATGATTAGTGATGTTGAGCATTTTTTCACATGTCTCTTGGCCATTTGTATGTCCTGTTTGGCGAGGAGTCTATTCAGCCCCTCTGCCCATTTTTTAATTGGGTTCTTTGTCTTCCTTTTGTTGAGTTGTATGAGCACTCTATATATTTTGGAAATTAACCCCTTATCTGATGTATCATTGGCAATGATGCTCGCCCATACAGTGGGTTCCTTTTCCATTGTGATGGTTGTTTCTTTTGCTGTGCAGAAGCTTTTTAGTTTGTTGTAGTCCCATGTGTTTATTTTTTCCTTTGTTTCTGTTGCTTTAGGTGATGTATCAGTGAAAATTCAGCTGCGTATGATGTCCGAAATTTTGTTGCCTACATTTTCTTCTAGGATATTTATAAATTCACGGGTCACATTTAAGTCTTTTATCCATTTTGAGTTTATTTTTGTGTATGGTGTAAATTGATGGTCTAGTTTCATTTTTTTTTTTTATCCTCACCCGAGGATATTTTTCCATTTTTTGTTCAGATAGGGAGGGAGGGAGGGAGGGAGGGAGGGAGGGGGAGAGAGAGAGAGAGAGAGAGAGAGAGAGAGAGAGAGAGAGAGAGAGAGAAGCATCGACGTGAAAGGGACACATTGAGTGGCTGCCACCCACACAACCCAACCAGGGCTGGGGACAAACTGCAACTGAGTTATGTGCCCTTAGCAGGAACCGAACCTGGGTCTCTCTGGACCGTAGACTGAGCCAAACTGGCCAGAGCTCATTTTTTTTGCATGTAGCTGTCCAATTTTCCCAACATCATTTATTAAAGAGGCTGTCTTTACTCCATTGTATGCTCATGCCTCCTTTGTCAAATATTAATTGAGCATAATGTCTTGGGTCCATTTCTGGGTTCTCTGTTCTGTTCCACTGGTCTATATGCCTATTCTTGTGCCAGTACCAGGCTGTTTTGATTGCAGTAGCTTTGTAGTATAACCTAATATCTGGTATTGTGATCCCACCTACTTTGTCCATCTTTTTCAAGATTGCTGTGGCTATTTAAGGTCTTTTTTGCTTCCATATTAACTTTTGAAGTATTTGTTCTAGTTCTATGAAATATGTCCTGGCTATTTTGAAGGGGATTGCATTGAATTTATAGATTGCTTTGGGTAATATGGACATTTTAATGATGTTAATTTTTCTAATCTATGAACAAGGTATGTGCTTCTACTCTTTTATATCTTCCTCTATTTCTTTTTTCAATGTCCTGTAGTTTTTTGCAAATAGGTCCTTTACTTTTTTGGTTAAGTTTATTCCTAGGTATCTTAATTTTTTTGCCACGATGGTAAATGGGATTGTTTTTTCAGTTTCTCTTTCTGTGAGTTCATCATTGGTGTATAAGAATGCCGTCGATTTCTTGACGTTAATTTTGTATCCTGCTACTTTGCCAAATTCATTTATTAAGTCTAGTTGATTTTTGATGGAGTCTTTAGGGTTTTCTATGTATAATATCATGTCATCTGCAAGTAATGACAGTTTCACTTCTTTCCAATTTGGATTCCATTTATTTATTTTAATTTATTTTTTAATTAATTTATTTATTTTTATTACAGATGTTTCTGCTTTTCCCCCATTGATTCCCACCTCCCTCTCCCTTCCTACCCTGTCCCCAGCTTTGTTGTCCATGACCTTTGTTCATGCATACATGCATATAAGTTCTGTGGTTTATCTCTCCCTCACCACCCCCTATTCTGGGGATTGTCAGTCTGTACCCACCTTCTACATCCTGGGACTACCCCATTCCTCAGATTGTTATGTTCATTATATTCTACAAATAAGTGAGATCATACGATACTTGTCTTTCTCTGTTTGGCTTGTTTTGCTTAGGATAATACTTTCCAGGTCCCTCCATGTCATCTCAAAGGATAAGAGATCTTTCTTCCTTACAGCTACATAGTACTCCATTGTGTATATGTACCACAGCTTTTTTATTCATTTGTCAACTGATGGACATTTGGGCTGTTTTCAGATCTTAGCTATTGTAAATAGTGCTGCTACGAACATGGGGGTACATATATTCTTTCTGATTGGTGTTTCAGGCTTCTTAGGGTATATTCCTAGAAGTGGTATCCGTTTTATTTTTTCTTCCTGTCTGATTGCTGTGGCTAAGACTTCCAGTACAATGTTAAATAAGAGTGGTGAAAGTGGGCATCCCTGTCTTATTTGTGTTCTTAAGGGAAATGCTTTTAGTTTCTGCCCATTGAGTATGATGTTGGCTGTAGGTCTTTCACATATGGCCTGTATAATGTTGAGATATGATCTCTCTATTCCCACATTGCTGAGCATTTTTATCAAAAATGGATGCTGGATTTTGTTGAATGCTTTTCCAGCATCTATTGATATGATCATGTGGTTTTATCCTTCATTTTGTTTATGTGGTGTATCACATTTATTGGTTTCCAAATGTTGTACCAGCCTTGCATCTCTGGGATGAATCCCACTTGGTCATGGTGAATAATTTTTTTGATGTAGTGCTGGATCCGATTTGCTAGTATTTTGTTCAGGATTTTGACATCTATGTTCATCAGGGATATTGGCCTGTAGTTTTATTTCTTTGTAGTGTCTTTTTCTGATTTTGGAATTAGAATTATGCTGGCCTCATAAAACGAGTTTGGAAGTCTTCCTTTGTCTTGAATTTTTTTGAAATAATTTGAGGAGAATGGGTGTTCTTTGAATGTTCGGTAAAACTCCCCAGTGAAGCCATCTGGGCCTGGGGTTTTGTTTGCTGGGAGAGTGTTGATTACCTCTTCAATTTCCTTAGTTGTCATTGGTCTGTTCAAGTTTTCTCTCTCTTCCCGGTCCAGTTTTGGGAGACTATGTGTTTCTAGAAATTTGTCCATTTTGCTTAGATTGTCAAATTTGTTGCCATGTAATTGTTCATAGTAGTTAATGATCATTTGTATTTCTGTGGTGTCAGTTGTTACTTCTCCTCTTTCATTTCTGATTTTGTGTATTTGTGTTCTCTTTCTTTGTTTCTTGGTGATTCTAGCTAAGTGTCCATCAA